GAATGCTTGGGATTGAAGGTAATTCTTTCTTCAAACATGAAATTTAATTTAGTTGTGCTTTATAATCCTCCATGTCATGATATAAATTTCTACAATGAACTGAAGAATCTTCTTTTTCTTGTTGACAACTGTTGTGAATGTATAATGTTTGGGGACTTTAACATAAACTGGATGGTTAAAAGTGGTAAATCAAAATTAAAATCAACTATGGAGAAATTTAAATTCAAACAGCTGATTGATAGACCCACTAGAATAACTAGAAAGAGTGAAACTCTTATAGATCTGATTTTTACTAACAGGCCAGAGAGAGTAACAAAAACATATAATCTCATTACTGGCCTTTCAGATCGTAACATGACACTGATTGTAAGAAAGTTAACTAAAAAACGGCTACTTCACCATAATAAAATAGCCAATTCAATTTTAACACCAGGAATTCCCAAGTCAAAAATAGCCAGCTTTGAACATGATTTGAAGAAAGTTAATTGGGAAGAGGTAATTAAAGAATCAGACTTAAACCACAGTGCAAGCAATTTTGCCTTTATTTTAAGTGAATTAATAAACATTTAAGTAAACATACGAAAACCTGGAAAAGTAGGCCTAAGAAATTCTCTCTTCCATGGTTTAACAGTGACATCCTTCAGATCGTTAAAAGGCGAGATCTTGCTCTTAAAAGGTCCTTAATAACAAAAACTAATACTGACCACCTTATTTTTACTGGTTTGAGGAACAAAGTAGTATCAGAGCTGCGAAAGGCTAAGACTAATTATTTTTCCAAATTAATTGAAGAGGCCAGTGGCAGCAGTTCTAAATTGTGGCAACATATAAATAGATTAACCAATTCAAGTAGACAAAAACATTTAAAAATAAATTGTCTTAAAGTCTGTAATAATCTGATTCATAGAAATGAGGCTATTGCAAATGTTTTTAATAGTTTTTTTATTGAGTCTGTACAAGAATTAGCAAGCAATTTTAAATATATCGAGTCATCTCTTGAAGAATTTGACAATGCTCATACAGGCTCCTTTTATATTAAAGAGGTATCTCGTGATAAAGTTAAAATGGTGATCACAAACATGAGTAACTCCAAGTCTAAGGACATTCATAACATTCATGCTGCATTAATTAAGAGATATGAAAGCTGTCTGTTGGAGCCAATTACTTATTTAGTAAATTTGTCAATACAAACAAAATTATTCCCAGAGAGCTGGAAAACAGCAATAATTACGCCGGTCTATAAATCGGGAGATAAGGATATAGCAAGTAATTATAGGCCTATTGCTATCCTTCCTGTAGTCTCAAAAGTTCTGGAGAAGATTGTTGCCGAGCAATTAGTGGAACATTTAGAGTCTAACCAGTTGCTTTATCGACAGCAGTTTGGATTTAGAGACAAATATTCCACTGAAACTGCTAACTGCTATTTGCTTGAAAAAATAAAAGCCTCATTGGATAAAGGGAATGTTGTCGGTTCTTGGTTCTTGGACCTAAAAAAGGCCTTTGACACTGTTAATCACAGCATTTTAATAAATAAATTATCAAAATGTCAAATGTCATCAGACGCCATTCAGTGTTTTAGGTCCTATTTGAGTGGAAGACAGCAGTGTGTCAGGGTCAGTGGGGTTAAGTCACCTCTGCAGACAAACAACATAGGAGTACCGCAAGGTTCTGTACTTGGCCCTCTGTTGTTTACAATGTACATAAATGACTTACCAAATTGCTGCCAGATGTATGCTGATGACACTGTCATCCATGTGTCCACTACAACATCTAGCCTGGCAGGTGAGCACCTGACACAGGCATTACATAACATCTCTAAATGGCTCGAGTTGTCTCATTTAACTCTTAATGTTAAAAAAACAGTTTCCATGTGCGTCTCCATACGAAATAGGCCTGCAAGGGATGTATTTGAGGTGCAGATTAAAAATGAAGTAATTGAAGCAGTGAATGAAATCAAGTATCTTGGGATTATTCTAGATAAGAATTTAAAATTTGATAGTCACATTGAGTACATCTGTAAGAAGGTCAAACCAAACCTAAATTGTTTTCGTGTTATTAGAAGGGACTTGTCAGGTCAAACTGCAAAATTATACATGCATGCAATGATATTTTCACATTTATCATATTGTGTCACATCATGGTCACAAGTCTCTCCAAATAAATTAAAGCCTATTATTTCAATATACAAACAGGCAATAAAAGTTATGGACCAGAAACCCATGAGATGGCATCATTGTGATGTTTTAAGAAAGCATAACCTTCTTAGCTTCGATAGTTTCGTTGATTTTAATGATCTCAAATTGGTTTTTAAATGTCTAAAGAATCATGTTTCACCACTTTTTTCTGAATTGGTCAGTAGGTATTGTTCCTTTTTTTTATTTTATGGTATATTTTTTTTATTTTTCCCTTTTTCTTTATTAGTATTGTTATTATCACTTTTATTGTTAACATTGTTATTGTTATTTATTATTATTAGTATTGTTATTGGTTTTATTTTATTAATGAAAAAAATGTTTTTTTGCTTTCTGAAAAGCCTCTCGTGGACTGGTGTTGAAAATTAGCATGTGTGCTAAAACACTTAAGCAGGTGCATATGGTTTGTCCAATGTAACTGTGATGTCCATGTTAAATAATAATAATTATAATACCACAAAAAGGTAGCGATTACTGACACTAAAACGGTCCGCCTCTGCGTATTTAAAACGCTAGGGCCGCACTTAATAAAACCCTAGAAATACAGTGCACATTTCTGGATGACACACCCAGGTCTTCGAGTCTCGTTTATCGATCTGATGTGCATTAAGTACTCCAGCAACCAGGGATAGGAACGAGAATAGGCTCCAACATCCAATCGCGTTTTCAACTCTAGTTTTCTTTTCTTCTTTTTTTTTATCACGCTATAGAAACTCATATTCAGGCTCTAAACGTGTTCAGATGCTAATCTAAATGATAAAATGCTGACATAATTTGCTATGTGGAATGAAGAGCATTTTTAACAGCCGACTGCGTGAAAATTAGAAAGGATATTTTTATTAGAATAAAGCCGCGGGTTTAATTAGAGTGCATTACGCTGGGTGAATGTTTCAAAAAAGGCAGCAATATGCTATAATAACAACAATTCAATATTAGACCGTTTAAAAACAAGATAAAGTGGTTTGAGTCACAATAACGTAATAGAGATCAGAGTCCACTTTCAAGTTCGGGTACAGAGCCAATTTGATTTTTATAGCACTTTTCACATTGTGCACACCATTCATAATGTATGAATGAAAAGACTTGATAATTTTCACACTGCTGGGTCAACTGACAAGTGAATCTGTTTCTTGTTAGACGAGCGTACTGCCCGTATTGACTCTACCCCACAGTATATCCATGTGCTACAGGTTCATTCATTCATTACGTGATTTGAATTGATTATGATCCAAGCAAGACAAAACGAAATAGAGTACATTAATACTAAAATATATAAAATAAAACAAAACGGCTAAATTTATTTTTCATTTGATCATTCATTCATACATTTGCTATTTTGGCATGCATATTTTCGTATAACAATAAAAATGTCTTAAAATATGTATCAACTTACTCATCCAGAAGAGTTTCGAGCTCATCGATGGACATCTCCTCTACTGCAGAGTGGCTAGAAGCCTCACTCTCCTTGTCAGATAAATCATCCCATTCTTTGGTCTTGTCTTGTTCTTCATCACTGTTCACACATTCCTCCGAGCTGTCCATAACGCTATCATCCATCTCCTTATTACACGCATCCATCGTTAAATGCAGCGCTGCACAGGGTCGCAGGTAAGAGTAGCTCGCGCCAGCAAATTGAGCAAAAACACCATGCGGAGATTTCTTGCAGAATGCAATAAACCCGTTAACCACTGCGATCGCACTTTCATTCGCTATTGTTCTTGTCTGTCGTGATTTACCATCCAGTCATTGGCCGAAAAAACAGCAGGTATCCCGTACAGGAATTTATGATCCTGATTGGATGTTTTCAAAGCAAGCGCTTAAGTTTTATATACCCCGAAGGCATTTTTGCAATTCACGCGAGGACATTTTTGAATGGACATGTCCAAAGACGAATAGCAAAATCCTCGTGGGGAAGTCTTCACTTTGGAAAAGAAATGGACAAAAGTATTAGGACACCCCCTTCTAATGAACAGGTTGGACTACTTTAGTCATTTCCATGAGTCCGAAACTCAATGTTTCAGCATATAATGATATTCTAGGGAATTGTGTGCTTCTAGTTTTATAGCAACAGTTTGGACAGGACACTTTTCTATTTTAACATGACAATGTCTCTGTTTATAAGGCAAGGTTCAAAAATAACTGATTGATTGAGTCAGTGTGGAAGAACTTGACTGGTCTGCAGAAACCCAGCTGAACACCTCTGGTGTGACTTTAGCCAAACTCATCACCAATGACTTGTACATATTTTAGACTCTTCCAAAGCTGTTGCAACAGAGGTGGAAATACAACTTTTAAATACACTAATTATGATTCTATCTTCATTGCCACAGTTTTGGAAGTGCCTTTTGCTGTTCTAAAGAAGGAGGTGTCCCAATACTTTTGTCCATATACTGTATACAAGTCATTGGTGTTTGGTGGTGAGTTTTTGGCTCAAGGTCTGCATTTAAAGTCACACCAGAGGTGTTCAGCTGGGTTTCTGCAGACCAGTCAAGTTCTTCCACACTGACTGAATCAATCATTTCTTTTCTCTTTTGCACACTATATGGACAAAAGTAGAATAGAAAAGTGTCCTGTCCAAACTGTTGCTATACAATTAGAAGCACACAATTCCCTAGAATATCATTATATGCTAAAACATTAAGATTTGTACTCATGGAAATTACTAAAAGGGGGTGTTCCAATACTTTTGGCAATGTATGTTGTGTGTACATATCCAAAAGGAGACTCTAAAACAGCACTTTAGAAGAAATCTATTTAATGACATGCAACAATTTACAAACAGCTCATACATCTTTTAAACCAGACAAAGATATTTTTACACCTTTAAAACGCCAATATAAAATGTGTTGTTAAATTCTAAAGATATAAGACTAATATTAAGCACCTTTCCATCATGTCACATAGCTCAGAATCTGACAGGTATCGGTACCAATAGCATTTCTATTGGAACATGTTTTGGTACAATTACAAACCGTTCCTAACAGATTTTACAGCTAAGTTAGCCTGAAAATACAGTTCCCGTGTGGTTCCAGCACAACAGAACATGGGAGATTTTTTCATATATTTACTTGCAATGCGAGTACTCAAAAAACTACCACTAAAAGCTAAAATGCCTTTAAGATATTTCCAGTTTATTAGTATTTATAAGCCTCACATGCCATTAGTCTGTCATCAATGTCTTGCTAGTTTCATGTTGCATTTCTGGTTATCTTGATTTCTGAGTTTTGGTTGGCAGTTTGGACTTGTTTATGAATAAACTGCACTGTAAGCATTTAGCCCAAACTATACTTCAGGTTTTACCTGTACGCGAGGGTACTGGTTCAGTGTGTGTGATACAAATTTTCCACCAGAAAAGTACATGCGTACCTTACGCTCACCGTCCAATTTTTGTAACTACACCTACTTTGTATGTGCAGGTCATGTGCATTACATTTGTTTTGCACAAATCAGTTATTCCACTAGGTGGCAACACTGGCCATTGTTTCAAAATAGAAGACAAAAAGAGACTAAACAAATTGAGAGACCGCAACAACAACAGACGCCTGCATTGACAAGCACTCGTGTGCATGAGAGATAGGTGCAACTTTAGTTTAAAAGAGTACAAAGATATTTTTATCTGTCAAAACCTCTGGAGAAAAAGTGTAGACGCTGGACAAAGATGAAACGTCCTAGAGGGCATGTGTCCAGCATCTGCGTTCGCGCACCCAGTCAAATAGAGTATATTTTGAATGGCTACGCGTTCAACTGTTCGCAAGCTCTAGAGTGTAGTGTGTACCTTGGGCATTACTCTGCGTCAGACTCATCAGCTAATTCATGCCATTTACTGTAACAGTCACGCTTTGGAACAAAGCATAAATGCACCCGGCAAGTTGCACACATGACTGGAGTTTTACTGGAACACAGTTTGCATTTCCGTCTTCCAAAAGTGCTGTCTCCTTTGATGTACTTGGGCAGGTGGGAATCTGTAGCAGGAACCTGTCGTTCTTGTGCAGAGGCGGATGCAGGTCCTGTTCCCGCAAGCTCTGCAACAAGCGCCTCCCGGAAGTCCTTCTGGGTCAGAGGCTTCTGGTTCTTCATCTTGGCCATCTGCTGGTGCAAAATGAAGGCATTGACTACAGCGATGTCCACAAAGTGGTAAAAAAAGGACCGATACCATTTTTTTGTTTTATGCAGAACTGTGTAATATCCTATAAGGGCGTCAGACAGATCCACTCCTCCCATGTGCCTGGAATGAAAGGAAAATTGTGATTTATTATAAGACTTGCTTTTAGAAGTAATGAATTACAACATTGCGTCACTCAGTAATGCATTATTTTACTAGTTAGTTTAAAAAAATCAGATTACATAACTCACTTGCAATGCATTACCATCACAAACTTCACACTAGGGCTGGGCGATAAATCGATTTTATCGATTAACTCGAATGTGTAGTTTACGTCGATTTGTTTGAATGAAAATCGGTTTTCTTTTTAACATCCACCGACGCTCCCCTCTGGGCTCCCGTGGTTCCGAATGGGCTCGGCCCTCCCCGCGCGCGTTTGCCATAGAGATACACAAACAACATGGCAGCGAGCAGGGAAGAACTTGTTTCCAAGAAAGGCACAGTGTCATCCGTAATTTGGAATTGGTTCGGTTTTGCGGCGTCAGACGCAGAACAAACAACACCCCGCTGCAAAGTGTGTTTGAAGTCTGTTGCTAGCAAAGGTAGCAGTACGACCAATTTACTGCAGCACCTCAAACAGAGGCATGCTGCCGAGTGAGAGAGATGTTACGCCCTACGAAACGGACAAGACGGCAGCACAAGCACACCCACCAGCACAAACGGCAGCACAAGCACACCCGCCAAAAACCAACCTACAGCAGTGTTACTTATTGCGCGGCTCGTCAAGCTTTACTTTGTGTCTCGCATGGCAGTAAATAATACGATGATATGACGTATTACACTATGACACTACGTTCAGATGATTTGCAACTGTAGTGTCAACAAGTGTAGACAGACTTTTAGCGCGTGCCGCGTCTGGTGTGTAGACACGGTCAGACAGTGTCTTCTCTATTACAAATAATAATTTATATTAAAAAAAAAATTCCTAAAACAGCAGCATTACAAGATGAAAATATAAACTAGAAAAGATATTTACACTTGCTCTGTCCAACGTCCATGACACTAACTCACTGCGGAGTTGTCAGCTTTAATCTCTTAACTCTGAATGTGCACTTGGATGATAGATATTGTGACTGCTGTGTCTTATAATGATCTACTTTAAAAAGAATAGAGCAGCACATTCTAAGATTATAATTGTCTAGTTTATCCGCTTCTGAGGTGTCATCCTGCTTTTTTTTTTTTTTTTTTTAATAAATCATCTCATCTCAGATACAAATTTGACCGGTAAATTATAAAGAATGATGGCCCCTTTTGCATTGCATATCAGGGATGAGTGATTGATAAAAAGACATGCTATTTATGACTAGATGTAACTTTTGATACTTCGCGGTAAAAGTGGCTCTCTGATTGACTTTGCCCTATCAGTGCGGCTCCCATGAAAAAAATAGTGAAGACCACTGACCTAGTCTTACAAACATTTACAAACTGTATCCGATATGATAAGAATGTTATGTTACATTTTATGTTATGTTGCATTTTCATTGTTTACAATGGCAGGGCCTGCCATCTTGTCTTTTTGGCTTGTTGTTTCTGTTTGCAATTTAACCCCAAGGGGGAAATCCAGATCAAATCCCAGAAGGTAAAATCAAAACAAAATAAAAGTTAAAACTTGTTTTGAACAATTTCTTTGTCATCTGCAGATTGATTTTAAGTAGGGGGGAGAAATCGATTTAAATCGTAAAGCAGATTTTATTTTTAGGCCATATCGCCCAGCCCTACTTCACACCATTGAATAAAATCTACTAACTTGTTGTAATCCAGCACTGCGGCTGGAACGGGGAAATCCTGAAAGGCCCAAACTCCATCGGCTCCTTTCACATTCCTCTTAATGGAGTCCCCATTAAAGGCCTTATGAAAGGTGGAGCACATCAGTACGTCTCTCTTGTCCTTCCACTCAACAAAAAGCAGATTGTCTTCCCTAAACCAGCGAATATTGCCACGAGGAGCCTGTGTCTTTGAGTGGCCAAAGCGGTTTGCACGAATGGTGCCACAAGCCCAGATCTTTTTATGCAGCAGGTCTCTGAAGAGCTTGGGACTGGTGTAAAAGTTGTCAACAAACAGCTTGTAGCCGCTTCCCAACAACTTTTCATTTGTCAGACTCATGACAGAATCATAACTAATGCCTTTGCTCTTCTCGGAATTGACCTTGCCTTCATAAATGAAGAAGTCCCAAGTGTAGGCACAGAGGGAATCTGCCAGTACAAAAAGTTTGTACCCCCATTTTGTAGGGTTGTTCTTCATGTATTGTTTGAGTCCATTTCTAGCCTTCGATGCCACCATTCGTTCATCAATGGAGATGTTCTGAGAGGGATGGAAAGAGGCTCTGCAGGCATCCCTAATGTCCTGGTACAGCGGTTTGATCTTACACAGGCGGTCGTATTCAGGTGTTCCCCTCTTCTTGTCATTCTCTGCATCCACTTTAGGATCACTAAGATGGAGCCCCGCACACATGCTAAAAAATTTCCTTCCAGACATGATTCTTGCAGGATACGGCAGACTGTATAAGTCTGATCTCTTCCAGTAGTCTGTCAGTTTGAAGCATTTCAGCATGCCCATGTAAATCACCAGTGCTATGAATGACTTCAGATCTTTTATTGAAATGTCCTCCCATGGTGTCTTCATTCCTTCACGACGCATGGCTCCATATGCATTTGTATGTTCTACAACTTTCTGTAGCACTGATTTTGAAAAGAGCAACTCAAAATACTGCATAGGACTGCATGTTGCAGTGGAGACCAGCTGTGGGCCGGGTGTGTTTTTAGGTCTGAATGTTGGCTGTGTTGGCTCAACATCAGGCTCATCTACACTTTTCCACTTCTGTTCTAAGATGCTTGAGGGAAAAGGTAGGGATCGACTCATGCTGCTTCTCCTACCTCTGCTTTTGCCACTTTGCACAAAAGTGGGTGAACCAGATCTGCAAGATTCTACAGAAGACAGACCGGATCTCTTCTTTTTTTGTGGAGTGGCCTCTGGATACCAGTCATCATCAGAGGTATCCGAAAGCCTGTTGCATTAAGCAAGACAACAAACTGGCATTAGTGATGTAAATATACAGACACAAATGTGTTACATTTAAAAATAGAATATAGTTTCAACAAAGAAACAGTAAATAGTATTGCAAAAATTCAAGAATGATTAAGGTTTACCTGAGTTTACTTAAATAACAGTCTCAATGTTGCAAAGTTTACCAATTATGAAATTATTTTAATTTAACTATAAAGCAGCTATACAGAAGGCAGTACTATAATTATTCAGGTCAAGCCAATAAATGTTGTTTCGATTAAAATCGGAACAAGGCGCTATGTTTGCATTTAATACTTCTAAAGTAATTGTTAGCGGTTTCTTGACATGGAATAGAAGTGTTTTATGCAGAACGTTTTATGTGGGATAATTAATAAAGCAAGTCAAGATTTGTAAATTTAATCGAACAAATGCAATCTGGAAAACCTACCCAGGTTTTTAAAAAAAGTACACTTCTAATAATGTACTTAAAGTGCTCTATTTTTGAGCACTAATGTTGTACTTAATATACTAAACATTATTCTTTAGTACTTCTTAAGATAAACTAAGTGTACTCAACTATGCTATTTTGGGACACCAAAAATATGAACTAAAACACACTTTTAACATACCATCTCTGTATTTAAAAATGTATTTAGTTACCACTTGTAGTACACTTGAGTGTACTAGCGTATGAAAGATGGGTTCAAGTGTACTACAAGTGGTAACAATACATTTTTTAAATACAGAGATAGTATTTTAAAAGCCCATTTTAGTTCATGGTGTCCTAAAACAGCACAGCTGAGTAAACTTGTTGATCTTAAGTTTATCTTAAGAAGTACTAAAGAATAATTTTCAGTACATTAAGTACAAAATTAGTGCTCGAAAATAGAGCATTTTAAGTACAGTATGGAAGTGTACTTTTTTAACCTGGGTAAAGTTATATAGATGCTGACCATTAAACTGTTAAATGCCCTCAAGGCATATCATTTAGCTCCAATCAAATTCGTATGTATATTTCATTAAATGTCGTATAAACCAGCTTTAAGGGGAGACACTGCAGGCAAAAACACTGTTTTTTTCATGCACCTGTCAAGTTTGAGATTTTGGGCTTTTCATAAAATGTTTTTTCAGACTAGTGGAATGAAAACATCCAAAAGACACTGTTAAGTGTTTATTTTATAGCACTTTATCTATCTGTGTCAATAGACTTCAATTACAATACATATTTTTAAAGGCCATTTTCTCAAAATGAGTTTTTTTCCTCCTACATTGAGCCATAAATCTCCACTTCAGTAGCACTTACACCAAACTTTACATTTTTCATTCCGGTCTATATCCTGAAGGTTTTTACAGAGGGATTTGTCCATATATAATTTGCTTGATTATATGCAACATTTTAACCCCCCTCCCCCCAATTGTGAAAATAGTGTTTTCTGTCCATTCTAAGCATTTTCTGAATGACAAAAATGAGATACCCAAAATTCCCTCTGTAAAAACTGTTGACTATTGAAAATTAAACAAGAATTTTTGAAACTGACCTCATCCAGTGTTTAGATTTTTGTACAAGAACTTTATGCAAATTAGCACGTTTCATTAAATAATGACTCATTTGCTTATCTAAACCTAACATTTTAGAAAACTTGTAATACAAAAAATGTTTGCAATTATCAATGTAATCAATCAGCTAGGTAAGGCGATAACTATTAGTTATTTTTAGGGTATATTTTTACCCTATTCACCTGAGGTGCCTCGCCTTAAAAATATATAAAAGAGGCTTTGCAGATATGTGTAAAGTTACCGATCCAAGAGGGGATCCAGACCATCGAGGAACATCTCCTCTTCTGTGGAATCCACGCTGGAAGCGGCACTCTCATCAGAAGATTCCACCAAATCAATCACCTCATCGTTTTCATCTTGTTTCTCCGTGTTACCATTTACACACTCCTCTGTGTTGTCCTTAACAGTTTCATCCATTTTCTTTTTTTTTTGCCTTGGCCGCAAAATAATCGCCTCATCTTGTTCCCCCTTGATACCACACTCCTCCGAGTTGTCCTTAGATGTTTCATCCATTTTCTTTTTTTTTAGCCTTGGCCGCAAAATAATCGCCTCATCTTGTTCCTCCTTAAAACCACACTCCTCCGAGTTGTCCTTAGATGTTTCATCCCTTTTCTTTTTTTTTTGCCTTGGCCGCAAAATAATCGCCTCATCTTGTTCCCCCTTGATACCACACTCCTCCGTGTTGTCCTTAGCCGTTTCATCCATTTTCTTTTTTGTTAGCGCTGGCGGCAAAATAATCGCCTCATCTGTTTCCTCCTTGATACCGTTAACAAACTCCTCCGTGTTGTCCTTAACAGTTTCATCCATTTTCTTTTTTGTTAGCGCTGGACGCAAGATGCAACTCAGAGTAACGCTCTCTCATTGGCTACTTTTCTTGACTGTCCTTAAATACTGGAATATCATTGGCCAAACCGCCAGGCGGCGGGAAACTGGAGGGAAAAAAAATAAAACTGTATTCACGTGCAAAACATACACCAGATAACCCGACAAGGCACAATAGAGACCTCCTCCTGTGAGGATTGCCAGCTCTATAGTCATTGTAATTAGATAGAGATTGTAATCTCTGTAATGAGAGGATTGAAGCTATTTAAATTGGGCAAGTCTGAAAACTGATTGAGATGGCTTGATATCAGGAACACTTAAGGAAATATAAAACATAAAAATGCAAAATAGGTCCTTTGTATATGAATCAAGAGTTTATAAAAATGCATCAAAATTCATCTAACACTGAGAATAATCTCATGTTATGAGAGTGAAGATGGAAAATGAGTAAAATTAAGTTGTAAAAATGGCTTTGTGATTCAGATTGGCCACAAACAATCATTTTTGTGCATTTTCATAATACAATAGAGCAAAATGCACGCAGTCCTATTTTAAGAGAAAATACATTCAAATCCTGATTTCACAGCACCAAAAATCGTAATCACGATACGAATTGTAACAGAACAGCAAAATTTAGCAACGGTAACCATTTAGGCTGATATTGGAAAGCATTAAAAGTGTAGTTCACTTGGATGACTGCAGCGACGCACAGCGAGTCCTCAATAAAGAGTGACTTCTGTATGAAAGATATCCCAACGTCTCCTGGTCTCTGCTTCGACGAGGAAAAAGTTTCCTACATTAGTACTTATAAACCTACCACCAGAACTTTAACTTTTTTATATTATTATTATTTCCAGTTAATCAATATTATAATAGTCCTCAAATTGCATTAGTCATTGTCAGCTATTTTCATGCATTTCTGTGTTTTTTTTTTATTAATTAATTGTTTTATTTTATTATTATTTCTTGAGGTTTTGGAGTTTAATACTGCTTTCATCTATCTTTGTTTATGAGTTTCATTTAACCGTTTGGATGCATCTGAATTATTATAGTTTAAAAAAATCTTAATTAAAAATCTTAAGTCAAAACAATACAGAGACCAAACCATCTAACAAAACATAAAAAATACATTAAAATAAATCAAAGAAAATAGAAAAAAAAAAAACAGTAAAACTTACCAGTAGATGGAGCTCTCAACATGTCTGTAACTGCATGACTGCTTGAGGGAAGACTGGTTTTGTCTGCATAGCAATACGTTGTTTTTGCTATTCGACATGGCTGGCATACTAAACAACTTATTAATCTTACAGGCAACAATAATCGAATGCAACATCGACCAAATGTCTTTCTATAAAAGAAAATGTGTATTTTACGTTTCTTGGCAAAATGAAATAGCATCTGATAACAGGAGCACATAAGGGAATTTAACCTGCTAAATGTTAACATTTCTATTATTTAAAATAATATATAACAACATTATTTTAATATCTGTCACAAAACAATAAAGAGAGCAAAACGTCTATCTCAGTTTTCAAACAATTTACATGACAACAAAGCAAGCAAAAAGAGGTCTTACCAGTAGGTGGACCTCTCAACATTTAGTCTTAGATTAACTACAACTGTTGGAGAGAAAAAACAGCATGGTTTTGATGAATAGAAATACATTGTTTTTGCTATTTGAAATACCTGGCATAACTGCAAAAAAGGTAGACTTTACTCAGAACTCTATCAAATGTGACCCTTGACCACAAAACCAGTCATAATTAGCATGTAGCAATAGCCAACAATACATTGTATGGGTCAAAATGATCTATTTTTCGTTTATGCCAAAAATCATAGGATATTAAGTAAAGATCATGTTCCGTTAAGATATTTTGTAAATTTCCTACCGTAAATATATCAAAACTTCATTTTTGATTTTCAAATAGTTGTATCTCGGCCAAATATTGTCCTATCCTAACAAACCATACATCAATGAAAATGAAAACATGCAGTTAGTATGGGAATGTTGTTGACATGGGCCACATTAAACATTTAGATGGAACATGAGCATGGTGAAACAATAAGAAAGAGAGACAGAGAGAGCGAGCGTGTTCACTGCCCATCCAGGAGCTCAGATAAAGCAGACAGTGTGTACGTGTGTCCAATCTGAAACAGGTTTTCCCACAATAGGAACTCTCCACCCCATCCTGGTTGGACTTTAAAAGCCCAGCCTCTCTACAGAGAGACACCCGTATCGCTCAGGTCTTCCCACCTGTTCACATCTGAAACGTCTTCCACTGCAGCTCTCCACGGTTTCTCTTGTTCAACTATGAGTCTGAGAAGCAAGCGCATCAGTTCCAGCAGCTCTGTGAGGAGCAGTGGGAAGATGGGAGGCTACGGCTACAGCAGTTTAAGTGGGATCTCCTTGGGAGCATCTGCCCCGAGCTTTAGCACCAGCTCTGCCTATCTGGGGCCTCCCATCACTAGCGTCTCTGTCAACAAGAGCCTGCTTGCGCCTCTCAACTTGGAGATCGACCCCAACATCCAAATGGTGCGCACTAAGGAGAAGGAGCAGATCAAGTCGCTGAACAACCGCTTTGCCACCTTCATCGATAAGGTAAAGTTGGGTCTGTTGTTCACAGAGAATATTTTGTAAAATTTCAGTCAAAAAGTAAAGGTCTTTGAATGTTAAAACCAACACATCGATGATAAAGTCTTAATACGATCAACATCTCAAACCTCTGAGCGAAAGGTGATTTTGGTAGACTCGCATGAAACCGATAGTTCTGTAGCGTGACCCATTTCTCTGAAGCCTGTAACCTGATAAAAGCAGGTCAGATCTGACCAAGCCACTGAAGACAGCACTATCCCAGCGAGTATGAAGGAAGCTTTTGTGTGCCGGAGGACAATGCAACCGAATCCCAGGGGCCCGCTGGACTGAAATCGACACTTCAATCGCACTGAAGTACAACCAAGTCACTGTTGCGGGTTGGGGCAGGGCTGGGTCCTCCAACACGGGTCTCAGGTCGGCTTTTAAAGCCCTCAAAATTAAGGACTTACGAAGAACCCAACTAGGTCAGCGGCTACTCTCCAGAGTGTTAACGTTCAGCTAATGGGGAGTCATATTGCTCCGTTAATGAGTCCATCCTGGCAGGGTGGGCATCAGTTAAAGCGGCCAGGCTTTCAGGATGTGCAGTGAACTGAAGAAGTTTCAAAGAAGTGCTCTTAAAATGCTGAAATTCCACCGAAGTGGACTCATTCTTCTTTGTTCTTATAAAAAGATGACAGGAATAACTGTAGTAACAGAGCATTAGTCAAACACTTTAATTAACCTACCTTATGTTCCTCAAGGAAGATTTACAATTAAGGTGAACAACTTTTACATCAATATTTCAGTATACTGGGTACAAATATGGTTACTTTGAGCGCAATTCTTTAGATGATGTTGTAGAAGCCACCTGAGGATTTACTTTTTGCTTCATTTAGCTCTGCTTAAAACATTTCTAATAACATTGAATACAGAGACTCATCAGTCATACTGAACCCATACTGAACTTATATTTAAATTCAAAATTTTGATACTGACACTAGAAATGTTAATTAAATAAATTAAATAATTATATAAATAAATAATTTCTGTATTATTAAATTAAATAATATACAAAATAATATATTAGTCAAATACATTTTTGACGATCGATAACATGGCACAAATTTATCTTTATTTCTATATCTATTCCATATGAAAGACAAACTGAAAAAATAATGAAAAACTGAATTAAGAAATATTTATTGTTACCTCTACAGGTGCGCTTCCTGGAGCAGCAGAATAAGATGCTGGAGACCAAGTTTGAGCTGCTGCATGGCCAGACCCCGGGCCGGTCCAATGTTGAGCCCATGTTTGAGGCTTACATGGCCAACTTGCGCAGACAGATGGATGTGGTCAACAATGACAGGACCAAGCTGGACGGAGAGCTGAGGAACATGCAGGGACTGGTGGAGGACTTCAAACACAAGTATTTAGATCTACACTCCTGTATTTCTTTGAGAAACCAATTATAGAGCCACACCTGCTAGTGATTTTATTCTAACCTTGATAATAAATGGGATTGGGTATCATCAAAACCAATGGATCACATTTGCTATAAATGTGCTTTCAAACTTTGTCCACATTCACAGATTCACATTCACAAATATCCACTTTGTATTTTCTTTGACTCAGATATGAAGATGAGATCAACAAAAGGAACAACCTGGAGAACGACTTTGTGATTCTGAAAAAGGTGGGATACCTAGATGGCTATACGTCAGAGGTCAAAAATAGTATTTTTACACATTATGAAACACAAACCAATAGGTATGACCTCACTGTAATGTGGGGTTAGGGCAGGTTACAGAGTGAAAAGATGGACTTTTTTCAGGACCAGGAAAAGTTAAACTTTCACAACACGTTGAATAAAAGCAGCCCAGGAGAGGGAACAATGAAATGTTTGGGAGGGGTAAAGAGCTCTGAGCCTGAAGGGATCAGATCACCATTGACAAAAGCCTGGGTGGGGACGCGGCATTATTTATACACTAGAGGAGATCTGTTTTCAATGGCCTACCTACCGAGAGCAGCAAGAAGTCAAAGTTGCATACTAAAGATCTCCAAGAGATGTAGGTTTTGATATATCAATATAAGTCTTTTCTGGGGCATGGGGGGGAAGACATACAAGTTATTCAAGGATGCAACTGAGAAGAGGAAAAATGGAGTACTGTGTCCCGCAGGATGTAGACTCTGCGTATCTAGTGAAAGCTGATTTGGAGGACAAAGTTGGTGCCCTGACTGATGAGATCAACTTCCTGAGGACTATCTATGATGAGGTAATGCATATACACTTAGAAAACCAGTCATAAAACTACATACTAAACAAAGAATACTGTTTTTCTTTAAATATTTAACTACAATTTGCCATTTAAGGAAACAGTGGTTGGACCAAAACAAACATCTCGACTAATATGGCTTGCAAGAAATATACAGTACAGTGTTTACAGTA